TCTAGTGGAAAGGGAAAATATTTAAAGTTATTTTTAATTGAAACATTTACGCAAACTTATACAGTACAATTTTTATGTCCAGTGGAAAGGGGAAAATATTTAAAGTTATTTTTAATTGAAACATTTACGCAAATTTATACAACAATTTTTAAGTCCAGTGGAAAGGAAAAATATTTAAAGTTATTTTTAATTGAAACATTTACTCAAATCTATACAATTTTTAAGTCCAGTGGAAAGGGAAAATAATTAAAGTTTTTTTTAATTGAAACATTTACGCAAAATTCTACAACAATTTTTAAGTCCAGTGGAAAGGGAAAATAATTAAAGTTATTTTTAATTGAAACATGTACTCAAATCTATACAATTTATAAGTCCAGTGGAAAGGGAAAATATTTAAAGTTATTTGTAACTGAAAAATTTATGCAAATTAATACAACAATTTTTAAGTCCAGTGAAAAGGGAAAACAATTAAAGTTATTTTTAATTGAAACATGTACGCAAACTTATACAATTATTTTTAAGTCCAGTGGAAAGGGGAAAATATTTAAAGTTATTTATCATTGAAACATTTACGCAAATGTATACAACAATTTTTAAGTCCAGTGGAAAGGGAAAATAATTAAAGTTATTTTTAATTGAAACATTTACGCAAACTTATACAGTACAATTTTTAAGTCCAGTGAAAAGGGAAAATATTTAAAGTTATTTTTAATTGAAACATTTACTCAAATCTATACAATTATTTTTAAGTCCAATGGAAAGGGAAAATATTTAGTTATTTTTAACAATTACTCAAATCTATACAATTTTTAAGTCCAGTGGAAAGGGGAAAATATTTAAAGTTATTTTTAATTGAAACATTTACTCAAATCTATACAATTTTTAAGTCCAGTGGAAAGGGAAAATATTAAAAGTTATTTTTTTCCAAATGTATACAACAATTTTTAAGTCCAGTGGAAAGGGAAAATATTTAAAGTTATTTTTAATTGAAACATTTACGCAAACTTATACAACAATTTTGAAGTCCTGTGGAAAGGGAAAATATTTAAAGTTATTTTTAATTGAAACATTTACTCAAATCTATACAATTTTTAAGTCCAGTGGAAAGGGAAAATATTAAAAGTTATTTTTAATTGAAACATTTACGCAAAATTCTACAACAATTTTTAAGTCCAGTGGAAAGGGAAAATATAAAAGTTATTTTTCATTGAAACATTTACGCAAACTTATACAACAATTTTTAAGTCCAGTGGAAAGGGAAAATATTTAAAGTTATTTTAATGGAAACATTTACGCAAATTTATACAGTACAGCAATTTTTTAAGTCCAGTGAAAAGGGAAAATATTTAAAGTTATTTTTAATTCAAACATTTACGCAAATTCATACAATAATTTTTAAGTCCAGTGGAAAGGGGAAAATATTTAAAGTTATTTTCCATTGAAACATTTACGCAAATGTATACAACAATTTTCAAGTCCAGTGGAAAGGGAAAATAATTAAAGTTATTTTTAATTAAAACATTTACGCAAATTTATACAACAATTTTAAAGTCCAGTGGAAAGGGAAAATAATTAAAGTTATTTTTAATTGAAACATGTACGCAAAATTATACAATTATTTTTAAGTCCAGTGGAAAGGGGAAAAAATTTAAAGTTATTTTTCATTGAAACATTTATGCAAATGTATACAACAATTTTTAAGTACAGTGGAAAGGGAAAATAATTAAAGTTATTTTTAATTGAAACATGTACGCAAACTTATACAACAATTTTTAAGTCCAGTGAAAAGGGAAAATATTTAAAGTTATTTTAATGGAAACATTTACACAAATTTATACAACAATTTTTAAGTCCAGTGGAAAGTGAAAATATTTAGTTATTTTTAATTGAAACATTTACGCAAATTTATACAACAATTTTGAAGTCCAGTGGAAAGGGAAAATATTTAAAGTTATTTTTAATTGAAACATTTACTCAAATCTATACAATTTTTAAGTCCAGTGGAAAGGGAAAATATTAAAAGTTATTTTTAATTGAGACATTTACGCAAAATTCTACAACAATTTTTAAGTCCAGTGGAAAGGGAAAATAATAAAAGTTATTTTTCATTGAAACATTTACGCAAACTTATACAACAATTTTTAAGTCCAGTGGAAAGGGAAAATATTTAAAGTTATTTTAATGGAAACATTTACGCAAATTTATACAACAATTTTTAAGTCCAGTGGAAAGGGAAAATATTTAAAGTTATTTTAATGGAAACATTTACGCAAATTTATACAACAATTTTTAAGTCCAGTGGAAAGGGAAAATATTTAAAGTTATTTTTAATTGAAACATTTACACAAACTTATACAGTACAGCAATTTTTTAAGTCCAGTGAAAAGGGAAAATATTTAAAGTTATTTTTAATTCAAACATTTACGCAAATTTATACAACAATTTTTAAGTCCAGTGGAAAGGGAAAATATTTAAAGTTATTTTTAATTGAAACATTTACACAAATTTATACAACAATTTAGTCCAGTGAAAAGGGAAAATAAAGTTATTTTTAATTGAAACATTTACTCAAATCTATACAATTTTTACGTCCAGTGGACAGTGAGAATATTTAAAGTTACATTTAATTGAAACATTTACGCAAATTTATACAACAATTTATAAAGTCCAACGGAAAGGGAAAATATTTAAAGTTATTTCATTGAAACATTTACGCAAACTTATACAACAATTGTCAAGTCCAGTGGAAAGGGAAAATATTTAAAGTTATTTTTAATTGAAACATTTACGCAAATTTATACAACAATTTTTAAGTCCAGTGGAAAGGGAAAATAATTAAAGTTATTTTTAATTGAAACATTTACACAAATTAATACAACAATTTAAAGTTATTTATTATTAAAAGAAACATTTTAAAGTTATTTATTATTACATGTAAATTAAATAATTTCAGAAACAAGTATCAAATCTGTGTTAGCTTTTATTTTATCCCACAAAGCAATTTGCAATGGACATGCAATTTACAATGGACATGAAATGTATAAGAAAATTCATGAAGTTTTTCTAGTAGCACACTCACCATTCAGTAGAGGAAGGAAAATTCTCCATTCAGCCAAGCAGGGCTGGTCCACTTGTTGCAGAGGTGCAATGTCTAAATTTTCTTCAGAATTTCTATAGTAAAAAAAAAAATTGCATTAATTAGATTGAGGATGAGAAAATACAAATTCACCATAAATATCAAAATGTTCAATTGTTAATTTAATTATTATAATTGTAGAAAAAATATATACATTTGGTAAAATGCAGAATGAAAATGATAGTATTTTATATATTAATGCTTGCAGTACACAACAAAGATAGTTCTGGGAAGAAGTATTGTTGGTTGAGAATGCAGAGGTGGTGGAACGTTTTCAAAGTGGGAGGGGGACCCCAACTAATAAAATGGATGGGAATATGAATCAGGGAGATTTTGCTTCAAATGTAGGGGGTGGGAGGTCAGAATTTTCCCCAAAACCCCAAAAAAGAAGCCAGTCCAAGGATCCTCAAATTTTGATTCCTAGAGGCTGGGAAATGAGCTTTCCCGACTTTTACGCTGGGTGTATCATAGTTACAAGTTCTTCAAAATTCAAGGTTTTCCCCCTCCTGAAAACGGTTAGCTTAATGTTCTCAATTCTATTACATTAAAAAGTCCTGATATGTGTGCATACATACAAAAAACAATGGATTAGTTGCGTATGTATTCTTTTTTCCATGAATCGATAAACCCCCAAGAAAAAGGTTGATCTGGGGGTACCCCTGGAAAATTTTGACTCCTAGATAGCGGGAAATGAGCTTTCCAGACTTCTGAGGGGTCTTTTATTGACTTTGTGTGTTTGTTTGTGTTGAGGACCAATTAAAGGATTTTAGAGCAAACGTTCTAGAAAAGATATATCAAAAACTAATCAACTGATATGAATTGAAGTTTGGTGAAAGTTTAACCAAGTTACAAGGAAGATATTATTGAGAGTTGATGACAATCGAAATTAAGGTGTGAATTTGAGGGTCATTTAAAATCCTAAGGTCCCACCTAAATATCTCTAAGGATAATCAATAGATCAAAATTTTCCTTTCCACAATAATTTGTCATGTTTCAATGAAAAAAGGTTATGGATATGAGAACCATTCAAACGAAAACGTCCCAGACCATATATTTAAAAAACTAATAAAATGATCTGAATGAAACTTTCAAGAAAGTTTAATCAAGTTACAAGGAAAATAAATTTGAATTGTTGGTGACGATCCAATGTTGGGTGTGCATGGAGGCCAGGTCCCACACCTAAATATCTGTAGGACCATTTAAAAAATAGGTTTACTGACTGTAGGAATAAACAATAGTATGATGAATATCTAAATTAGTGCAATTACAGTAAGCTGTACAGCATTTTATATATATGTACTAACTTCACTTTTTTTTCGGAACTGATTGGGAATTACTTTTTAATACATCTACACAATGTGACGCTAAAAACCAAACCCCCATATTTATAATTAGAATAATATTTCCATTTGAACACTAATACATGGTATGTATTTTTTTTGTCAGGTATAAGAGTGTGACGTTCCAGTGTGTTAAAGCTAGAAGATATAAGGCATTGGCAGGTGTACAACTGATACAATAAAAGGTATTCGAAAAATTGAGTGATTAAATTTTGGTGTGGATGTCAATATATGGACTATTTAAAGCAAAATGTCCCAATTCAGATATCCGAAAAACTGATTTGAATACAACTTTCGTGTCTAAGTGTATTTTTTTTTAAGTACAGTAGATGGTGGTTAGAAAGTAGGAACATATTTTTTAGGGATTTATTTTGGAGAAAGGGATTTGCAGTGGGCGGAGATATGCTCTCTACTTAGTGCTTTTGTTATTATTATTATTATTATTATTATTATTAAAATATATTATAATTATCATTATTATTTATACGCTTTAAAATGATAGGTCAGTTACTGAAATCTATTTACTATTGCCAAAGTTATGAGTAAAAGTATTACGGCTTCTCTGAACTAAAGTATACAATACCGCCACATTACATATCAGTTTACTCAGTTTAAATTAACATATAGTGACACAGTATGCCGATTTTAGGATAGTGAGCCTTCAATAGCAAAATTACGCTTATAATGTGTCCACACTGAGTGTAGACATATGTGGCAAAGACAAGCCAAATCACTCACTCGTCGCAAATCCTGTTTTGGAGATAATGGCCAAAACATGTTCGGATGTCAACATTTGGGAAATCTATTTTATTGTACTAATCAAACCTTTATGTATTAATACATACTGTAATGCTATGCTGTTATTTTCCCAATTTTGAATGCTAACAACAATTTTTAATGATTTGGTGATGGTTTCTGCCTAAGAAATGCCCAAAATCGTAACGTTTGAAGGCTGATTTCTCAAATACTGGTTTTGAAACAGCTTTGTATAAACTCCTGTAACTTCATAACAAAATGTTGGACTTAAATGATTCTTTTACCATATGGTTCTCATTTTACTGTTTAACCCTATATTAATAACTAAAAATCGATATATATATATATATATATATATATATATATATATATATAATATTAATGTTTTGGCTACAGGTTTAACAGATTATTTTAGGTGCTTAGGGTACTTTGTAGTTATACTGGAAAGAACATTCAGTACAGAATAAATTTTGAATTCAGGTTGTTTGGCCTTTAATACCAATTACTAATATAAATGGTATCAGTACCTGGTAGGATAGCCTGCTCCTGCACTAATCACCAGCAACAACACTTAAAGCATGTGGACCCAATGCTTTAAGTGTAAATAATTGCCCTTTATAACCTCAAGGATAAGGTGCATCATAATGCCCATACCAGTATCAGATTTTTACGGATTACTCATTACAAGTTGAAAGCCTAAATTATGATTGCCAAAATAAAGTCAAATTGTGTTCATTAGCAGATAATTTATTACCAAATAGCCTAAATCTATTATACAATAAATACCATTTAAATTGTTAAATTTTGAATATTTTCTAAATTATTTATTTGTAAGTTTGTCCATGAATTAAGAGAAAATTATTATTGTTGTAAAATTCATTGGGTTTGATTATTTATTAAATTATTACATTTATGAGGATTTTAAAAGCTTTGCTGTTGCTATTTAGAAAATGAATAAATTATTAATATTATTATAATTAATGATATATTTTATTCCCCCTAAATGTACATACATTTTAATTATCCTGTTTTAACCAGAGCATATAACACATTTATTATTTTATTATAATATTTTCCAAGTTAAACTGTAAGTAATAAAAAAAAATTAATTCATTTTGATGATGATGATATTACAATTACAGAGACAGACTAGTTTCTGTTAGCTAATAGTGCCTTGAGCACTTACAGTGGATATGCACCTATACAAATCATTATTATAAACGCCGCCATGAGATGTTTTCAGTCATGTAAAGCTTGTGTGTGTGTGTGTGTGTAACATCTTTGTGTTTTGCATGTTTTTTGTGTGCGACATATCTTAAGAAAAAGTTGCACAGACATAATTGAAAATAACGGAGTGAGGTATAAATCAATGAAGAAATGATTAAATTGTGGTGATTGTCCGGAGTGTGTGGATGCGAGGACCAACAAAGGATTTTAGAGCAAATGTTCTAGACAAGATATTTTAAAAACTAATCAACGAATATGAATGAAAGTTTAACCAAGTTACAAGGAAGATATTATTAAGTGTTGATGACGATCCAAATTTGGGTGTCAATTTGAGGGTCATTTAAAATGTCAAAGATGTAAACATTTCTAAGAATAATCAATGGATCTAAATTTCACTTTCCACAATAATTTGTCATATTTCGATGAAAAAATGTTTTAATTTTGGTGACCATCCGGAGTACAAAGGAGTAAGGAATAGGCAGGTGTACAACTGACACAATGAAAAGCGTTAGAAAAATGCTTATCTCAAAACTAATCAACTGATCTGAATTAAACTTTTGTGTTAGTGTAATTTTTTAAGTAGATGATGGTTGGAAATTAGAAACATATTTTTGAGGATTTTATAGAAAGAGATTGGTGGTGGGCAGAGATGCTCTCTACTGAGCGCTGTTATATTATTATTATTATTATTATTATTATTATTATTATTATTATTATTATTATTATTATTATTATCATCATTATCATTATCATTATTGCCTTTTCCAAGTAGTAGCTGTAGCAGTAGCTGGAAAAGAGATATGATATTAAAAACATACAATTTCACGGATTTTCCAAACAATATTTTAAAAAAACTCTTTCCATACTTTAAATTTCCCAAGCCTTTTCTTCTATATTATTACAAAATCATGTGAAGGCCCTGACTATAACATATCCCAATGTAATTCTCCTCAACCTTCTCGTACAGCATTCTGATAGCATGGATAATACCTCCATACTATCAGATTGAAGTTTCATGATATTGTATTGTATAAGTAAGAAAAAAAAAATTAAATTGACATTAATTGTGCAATCATGGAACAGATGCTTATGGTTAGATGGATTGTTTGTCAAGAAGTCTGTAAAGTAATACTTGTCAATATGCATAGTGAAGGTCTAGCGGTGCTGCTGGAAGTCCCCCATTGAGTAGGACATTAACACTACCTGGTCTACACTGAAATATTTATTGTGCATTCATGAAATGGATGGTCATGATTAGACGGATTGTTTGTCAGGAAGGTTAGCGATATATAAGTAACTTATGTGTTGGTCTGATTGTGGACTTACTTTAAAATGTTCCCTGGCCTATCAAGGCGGTGAAAGGTTACAACATGCGCGTGATCCGCTGTGGTGAAATGCACATGTATATGCTATCTAAAAGTTGCTCTTGCTGTGGTGTCATTTCAGCAGTTTCCAGATTTTTGTTGTTTCAAGTGTCTGACTATGAATATTCATTAACATTACATCATTGTGATGAGACCATGGTCTGGGAGAATTATGCAAATGGGTCAACTAGCAAACAGCCTGAAATACAAAAATGATATTATATTTAACCAACAAATATTAAGATTTACATTTTTTTTTTTTAATGGTAAAAGTAAATATGTAATATTAATTTACAGTAAATGAATTATATTATAGTGATATATAAGTAACTTATGTGTTGGTCTGATTGTGGACTTACTTTAAAATGTTCCCTGGCCTATCCAAGCGGTAAAAGGTTACAACGTGCGCGTGATCCGCTGTGGTGAAATGCACATGTATATGCTATCTAAAAGTTGCTCTTGCTGTGGTGTCATTTCAGCAGTTTCCAGATTTTTGTTGTTTCAAGTGTCTGACTATGAATATTCATCAACATTACATCATTGTGATGAGACCATGGTCTGGGTGAATTATGCAAATGGATCAACTAGCAAACAGCCTGAAATACAAAAATGATATTATATTTAACCAACAAATATTAAGATTTACATTTCTTTTTTAAATGGTAAAAGTAAATATGTAATATTAATTTACAGTAAATGAATTCTCCCTTAAATAACATTAATATTTCATAGGGTTTGTATTTATATATAATATATAACACCAACATCAGTTGGATAAAACTTGACTATAACATATCCCAATGTAATTCTCCTCAACCTTCTCGTACAGCATTCTGATAGCATGGATAATACCGCCATACTATCAGATTGAAGCTTCATGATAATTGGATAAACAAGTAAGAAAAAAATATTAAATCGACATTAATTATGCATTTATGAAACGGATGGTTATGATATAGACACACATCCCATGTTAATACTTGTCAATCTTGGACAGTCTTCTAGAGCACGAGGTATTATACCTCCATGCTATAGGGTAAGTTTCATAATACTGTACTGGGTAAATATAATGATATTGTATTGCACAAATAAGAAAAACTGTAAAACCGAGAAGATAAGAACCACTCATATAGTACAATTTTAAATTTAAGATTGGAGGATGTTTTTAACAGCATTATTTTTATTGGCCTACATGGTGGAGAGAATGGAAAATGAAAAGAATTAAAACAAAAATTTTATTATAACAACATTAAGAAAAAAAAAATTAAATTGACATTAATTGTGCATTCATGGAACAGATGCTTATGGTTAGATGGATTGTTTGTCAAGAAGTCTGTAAAGTAATACTTGTTAATATGCATAGTGAAGGTCTAGCTGTGCAGGAAGTCCCCCATAGGGCCCGTTCATGCTTATGTTATTACCCGTTGAATGTTACCGGAAATATTATTCGAAGGTAGTATGAACGGGGGTAATTAAAAAAACATCTGGCCGAAAAGCAGGTTAGCCAACCCACCAAACTTGCCGGTTAAAAGTTGCCTGAGGCGAATCCTCGTGACCTCGGTGATGCTGATTTCTCAAATACTGGTTTTGAAACAGCTTTGTACAAACTCCTGTAACTTGATAACGAAATGTCGGACTTAAATGATTCTTATACCATTTTATAGTTCTCATTTTACTGTTTAACCACGTATTAATAACTAAAAATCGATATTATATATATATTAATGTTTTGGCTACAGGTTTAACAGATTATTTTAGGTGCTTTGGGTACTTTGTAGTTATACTGGAAAGAATTCAGTACAGAATAAATTTTGAATTCAGGTTGTTTGGCCTTTGATACCAATTACTAATATAAATGGTATCAGTACCTGGTAGGATAGCATGCTCCTGCACTAATTACCAGCAATAACACTTAAAGCATGTGAACCCAATGCTTTAAGTGTAAATAATTGCCCTTTATTACCTCAAGGATAAGGTGCATCATAATGCCCATACCAGTATCAGATTTTTACGGATTACTCATTACAAGTTGAAAGCCTAAATTAGGATTGCCCAAATAAAGTCAAATTGTGTTCATTAGCAGATAATTTATTACCAAATAGCCTAAATCTATTAATTATACAATAAATACCATTTAAATTGTTAAATTTTGAATATTTTCTAAATTATTTATTTGTAAGTTTGTCCATGAATTAAGAGAAAATTATTATTGTTGTAAAATTCATTGGGTTTGATTATTTATTAAATTATTACATTTATGAGGATTTTAAAAGCTTTGCTGTTGCTATTTAGAAAATGAATAAATTATTAATATTATTATAATTAATGATATATTTCATTCCCCCTAAATGTACATATATTTTAATTATCCTGTTTTAACCAGAGCATATAACACATTCATTATTTTATTATAATATTTTCCAAGTTAAACTGTAAGTAATAAAAAAAAAATAATTCATTTTGATGATGATGATATTACAATTACAGAGACTGTTAGCTAATAGTGCCTTGAGCACTTACAGTGGATATGCACCTACACAAATCATTATTATGAACGCCGCCATGAGATGTTTTCAGTCATGTAAAGCTTGTGTGTGTGTGTGTGTGTGTGTGTGTGTGTGTGTGTGTGTAACATCTTTGTGTTTTGCATGTTTTTTTGTGTGCGACATATCTTAAGAAAAAGTTGCACAGACATAATTGAAAATAACAGAGTGAGGTATAAATCAATGAAGAAATGATTAAATTGTGGTGATTGTCCGGAGTGTGTGGATGCGAGGACCAACTAAAGGATTTTAGAGAAAATGTTCTAGACAAGATATTTTAAAAACTAATCAACGAATATGAATGAAAGTTTAACCAAGTTACAAGGAAGATATTATTAAGTGTTTATCCAACGATCCAAATTTGGGTGTGAATTTGAGGGTCATTTAAAATGTCAAAGATGTAAACATTTCTAAGAATAATCAATGGATCTAAATTTCACTTTCCACAATAATTTGTCATGTTTCGATGAAAAAAATGTTTTAATTTTGGTGACCATACAGAGTACAAAGGAGTAAGGAATAGGCAGGTGTACAACTGACACAATGAAAAGCGTTAGAAAAATGCTTATCTCAAAACTAATCAACTGATTTCTGGTTGGAAATTAGAAACATATTTTTGAGGATTTATTTTATAGAAAGAGATTGGTGGTGGGCAGAGATGCTCTCTACTGAGCGCTGTTATTATTATTATCATTATTGCCTTTTCCAAGTAGTAGCTGTAGCAGTAGCTGGAAAAGAGATATGATATAAAAACATACAATTTCACGGATTTTCCAAACAATATTTTCAAAAAACTCTTTCCATACTTTAAATTTCCCAAGCCTTTTCTTATATATTATTACAAAATCATCCTAATCGCGTCACAAATGAAGGCCCTGATAGAAATCGCGTCACAAATGAAGGCCCTGATAAAAAAAGAAATGACTTCAAAATTCGCTCAAAATCATAGTACAAGCCCTCTCCCTCAGGGAGTGGGCTAAAAACTGTAAAATCAAGGTGAACCTCATACATAGTAGCAAATATGGACATTAACACTACCTGGTCTACACTGAAATATTTATTGTGCATTCATGAAATGGATGGTTATGGTTGTTTGTCAAGAAGTTTAGTGATATATAAGTAACTTGTGTGTTTGGTCTGATTGTGGACTTACTTGTACTTAAAAGTTCCCTGGCCGAGCAGTAGAAGGTTACAACTTTCGTGATTTGCTGTGGTGAAACGCACATGCACATGCTATCTAGATGTTGCTCTTGCTGTGGTGTCATTTCAGCAGTTTCCTGATTTTTGTAGTTTCAAGTGTCTGACTATGAATATTCATTATCATTACATCATTGTGATGAGACCATGGTCTGGTGAATTATGCAAATGAGTCAACTAGCAAACAGCCTGTAATTCAAAAATGATATTAGATTTAACCAACAAATATTAAGACTTACATTAATAAAAAAAAATGGTAAACGTAAATGTGTAATATTAATTTAAATTAATTATCCCTTAAATAACATTATTTCATAGGATTTGTATTTATATATAATATTCAACACCAACATCATTTGGATAAATCTTGACTATAACATATCCCAATGTAATTCTCCTCAACCTTCTTGTACAGCATTCTGATAGCATGGATAATACCTCCATACTATCAGATTGAAGTTTCATGATATTGTATTGTATAAGTAAGAAAAAAAAATTAAATTGACATTAATTGTGCATTCATGGAATAGATGCCTATGGTTAGATGGATTGTTTGTCAAGAAGTCTGTAAAGTAATACTTGTCAATATGCATAGTGAAGGTCTAGTGGTGCTGCTGTAAGTCCCCCATTGAGTAAGACATTAACACTACCTGGTCTACACTGAAATATTTATTGTGCATTCATGAAATGGATGGTCATGATTAGACGGATTGTTTGTCAGGAAGGTTAGCGATATATAAGTAACTTATGTGTTGGTCTGATTGTGGACTTACTTTAAAATGTTCCCTGGCCTATCCAAGCGGTAGAAGGTTACAACATGCGCGTGATCCGCTGTGGTGAAATGCACGTGTATATGCTATCTAAAAGTTGCTCCTGCTGTGGTATCATTTCAGCAGTTTCCAGATTTTTGTTGTTTCAAGTGTCTGACTATGAATATTCATTAACATTACATCATTGTGATGAGACCATGGTCTGGGTGAATTATGCAAATAGATCAACTAGCAAGCAGCCTGAAATACAAAAATGATATTATATTTAACCAACAAATATTAAGATTTACATTTAAAAAAAAATGGTAAAAGTAAATATGTAATATTAATTTACAGTAAATGAATTATATTATAGTGATATATAAGTAACTTATGTGTTGGTCTGATTGTGGACTTACTTTAAAATGTTCCCTGGCCTATCCAAGTGGTAAAAGGTTAAAACGTGCGCGTGATCCGCTGTGGTGAAATGCACATGTATATGTTATCTAAAAGTTGCTCTTGCTGTGGTGTCATTTCAGCAGTTTCCAGATTTTTGTTGTTTCAAGTGTCTGACTATGAATATTCATTAACATTACATCATTGTGATGAGACCATGGTCTGGGTGAATTATGCAAATTGGTCAACTAGCAAACAGCCTGAAATACAAAAATGATATTATATTTAACCAACAAATATTAAGATTTACATTTAAAAAAAAAATGGTAAAAGTAAATATGTAATTTTATTAATTTACAGTAAATGAATTCTCCCTTAAATAACATTAATATTTCATAGGATTTGTATTTACATATAATATTCAACACCAACATTAGTTGGATAAAACTTGACTATAACACATCCCAATGTAATTCTCCTCAACCTTGTCGTACAGCATTCTGATAGCATGGATAATACCGCCATACTATCAGATTGAAGTTTCATGATATTGTATTGTATAAGTAAGAAAAAAAATATTAAATTGACATTAATTGTGCATTCATGAAATGGATGGTTATGATATAGACACACATCCCATGTTAATACTTGTCAATCTTGGACAGTCTTTTCTATAGCATGAGGTATTATACCTCCTTGCTATAGGGTAAGTTTTATAATACTCTACTGGGTAAATATAATGATATTGTATTGCACAAATAAAAAAAACTGTAAACCGAGAAGATAAGAACCACTCATATAGTACAATTTTAAATTTAAGATTGGAGGATGTTTTTAACAGCATTATTTTTATTGGCCTACATGGTGAAGAGAATGGAAAATGAAAAGAATTAAAACAAAAATTTTATTATAACAACATTAAGTAAGAAAAAAAAAATTAAATTGACATTAATTGTGCATTCATGGAACAGTATGCTTATGGTTAGATGGATTGTTTGTCAAGAAGTCTGTAAAGTAATACTTGTCAATATGCATAGTGAAGGTCTAGCGGTGCTGGAGGTCCCCCATTGAGTAGGACATTAACACTACCTGGTCTACACTGAAATATTTATTGTGCATTCATGAAATGGATGGTCATGATTAGACGGATTGTTTGTCAAGAAGGTTAGCGATATGTAAGTAACTTAAGTGTTGGTCCAATTGTGGACTTACTTTAAAATGTCCCTTGGCCTATCCAAGCAGTAAAAGGTTACAACGTGCGCGTGATCCGCTGTGGTGAAATGCACATGTATATGCTATCTAAAAGTTGCTCTTGCTGTGGTGTCATTTCAGCAGTTTCCAGATTTTTGTTGTTTCAAGTGTCTGACTATGAATATTCATCAACATTACATCATTGTGATGAGATCAACTAGCAAACAGCCTGAAATACAAAAATTATATTATATTTAACCAACAAATATTAAGACTTACATTTAAAAAAAAAAATTGGTAAAAGTAAATATGTAATATTAATTTACAGTAAATGAATTCTCCCTTAAATAACATTAATATTTCACAGGGTTTGTATTTATATATAATATTCAACACCAACATCAGTTGGATAAAACTTGACTATAACATATCCCAATGTAATTCTCCTCAACCTTCTCATACAGCATTCTGATAGCATGGATAATACAAAATATTCTGATAGTATTAACGTCTTTATAAACGTAATTTATAAAATATCTATGTTTTTTCATTCATGTGGCCTAGTAATTTCAACTATTTTTACTGTGTGAATCCTGAGTTTTTTTAAGGGCCGTACATTAAACCATTCACCCCTAGGTACTGTATTTATGATTTTGAATTTTTTTTTCAGTGTCAGAAATATGGTTAAATATCATTTTTTCTGAAGGAATAATACAATAATGATTGATACCAATTGAAAGATAATTAAAAAAAATGCTTCTAAATAACCTATTATTTAGTATTGTGAAATTATGGAAAAAATGAATAAAAGAAATTATTTCCAATTATTGATTTCATATTTATAATATTTATTGATGAATAATTTTTAAAATGAATTATTGAATCCAGTCAGTAGCCAGAATAAAAACACATCTCCACATCAGCACAAATCATTCCTTTACAAAATAAAACTAAATTTATTGACGAAGAACTTTGGAAGATAAAAATAATATAAAATTTTACATCGAAGTAGGCCTAGGCCGAATCCCGCGCCCCGCCGCGTTCAGTCTCCCATTCCCCACTACGCACAGTACTGTGAATAGCTTAACCTACCTCGCGAGGTAAAATCCATAATTCATAATTTCCTGCCTAGCCGTCCAAAATTGCGTCTTGTATATTTCAAATAGCTTTCAGCCACAAAAAAAAAATCAATTTTACGCGGAAATATGTCGATATAATAATAAAATCTGGTACAGTATGTATTTTGAAAATATATTTATAGTACGAAAGTGTCAGTATAGTTATTTTCTGAAAATAAAGTGTGTTTTTAGGTGATTTTATACATCACCAGTATTGACACCGACGCCTCGATCATGTTACAAAAACAACGATCAAATTACAAATTGCTAATTAGAAATTAATTATAAATGGAAGAAGAAATATTTTCTATAAATGTTTTTTTGATATTTTCTCACATTTTTTGAACTTGCATGCACATTATACCGTGCATACTATTTAAAATTAATTATAACTATAATTACGTAATTAATTATGTAGGTTGACCTTCGTGACCTTTTTACATATCTCGTGCAAATTATGGTGAATGGGTTAACTAATCCTAGTTTTTGAAATTCGAGTGACTCCTGATTGAATCGGGAGCATTGGTACGTTTGTGAATACCTGGGGCCTAGTGGAAAGAAACCCGATGGAAACGATGGCCGTACAAGTACGAGGGCACATTAGCGCTGGTATGTAAACAATAAGGAAGAAAAAAAAATAGGGCCTACACTGTATTTATTTCAAATTGTGCCACACTTCCGCAAGGTGAGTCACCAAACATTTGCGTTGGGTCGCGAGCAAGTTAGCAAAAAATAATTCAATTTATGTGCTCATTTTCAGACAGTTGATGTGAAGTTAAAACTGGTCTGACGACATAAAAACAGTATTTTTAGGTGAATCCTCCTTAGAACAATATGTTATTAGATGCCCACAATGAATATTCTGAAATTCATATCGCTATTATTTTTCATTGCCGTTTACCACAACATAATTGTGAAAATCTACTGTAAGCTTTCAAATGTTTAAGAACAATTTATAGAAAAAAAACTTAAAATAACAGAAAATTATTGGTGTTACTATCGCTATACCGTCATAATTTTTGGTTTAAAATAAACATTAATTAGAAACCATAAATTTTTAACCTAAGGTTTAAGCTTCGTAATTAATCATTTGTTAAAAGTTCAGGAACTTTTTTGCCTTTTTTTTTAAAAGGGGGGGGGGGGAGATTTATACCCTGAATTGTACACCTGTATAATTTTAAAATCGTTGAGGCCAGTATCCACAGGAATGACTACTGTATCTATAGACCATATTCAAGAAATTTGAAATGAAAATTTCTGGCAACCTGGCAACTACCATGGGGGACTTTCAGAGGCCTAGCATTTCGCTCTACGTACTAACCATCATGGTTAAATCAACGATAAATCTAAATTACAAACGAGCACAAATACTTCAAAATGGAAAAAACATGAAATGTTTATAATTTAAAAATTCTAAGTATTAAAAAGCTATTTGAATGTTTACATACAGTAATTAGCAAGAATCGTATCTGTTGTCTACGGCTGCTATAGCAAAGGCCGAGCGGTGCTATCCGCTGCGCAGTGGTCGATTTGCAATATAGACAGCTGCAACTTAGGCTAGGCTGCTGGAAGTCCCTTAGTGAGTTGTGAGACGTTGGCAGCGCTGTTTCAAAATATACCCGATAATATGGTGCGTAAATTAATCAATATTATTACCTTTTAATTAGAGTGTAGGCCCTACTAGGTCGGTGTACATACAACAGCTGGATACGTTAGTAACAGAGAGGAGAAAATATGTAACACTAGGCCTACTGTACAGTGAATAATTAAGAATTTATTTACCGGTATGTTGAGAAATGGTGAATAACATGAGAAAATATTTTACACATCTTGTGCCTTGTGTTTTACATACAACTTTGATGACATGAATAATATACATGTAGTGCCCCGCCAATAATGATTTCGAATTTCATAATAAAATTAAAGTGTTTTTTTTTTAAATTTTTATTACGCCCACCGCTACCTTGAAATCTCCAAATTGTAATTCCTTAGGCCTAGGCATATATATTAATATTATATAAATTTAAAGCATTTATCCATCTCGGATATGTTTTATGTACAACATGATTTTCTAATTAAATACATTTGTTGATTTCGTTTAATGGTTGAGATGGTGACATGAATAAAAAGGGAAAATATTTACTGTATAGTATACACCTTCATTTCGTTTGTTGATATGTTTGAATTTTAGATTTATTTTTCTTGCGTGATGACATGTTATTCACGCAAAAATATTTACTGTATATTTGTGGCAAAGACAAGCCAAACCAGTCACTGTCGCAAAAATCGTTTTTGAGTTATTATATACTGAATGCCATTTTTGTAATATCAATTCTTAACATTTTGACCTTTAACCTCATTTTTTGAGGTGATGCATTGGTTATGCGGGTCCTTTTAGTTTATTTTCTTAGTTTTTGTATTATTCTGTGCATTTTGACACCAAAATTAACCATACATTATAGAGTGTTCCCAAGATACATATTTTAGTGTTTTAGGTTGGGTCAATGAGCTTTAACCCCAAAAAAGTAATTTCCCCACTCTCCTATACCCCTAACTTTGTTTTGGTGTTATCCTAGTATTCCTACAAAAGTCAGTTGAAATCACATTCATTGTAATATTTTAAAATGATATATGCCAATTTAGCGACTAAAAATACAATTTTTGACATTTTGACCTCATTTTTCAAGGTCATGAATTGGTTCTGAGGGTCCTGCTATATTTTTTCATTTGTTGTATAATTCTGTGCATTTTGACACCAAGATCAACCATATACCATAGAG